TCGCGTTAAACCACTTTATAGACGTAGATATTAATGCTTTCATAGAGTTGATTAACATGACTAATAGAGGAACAACGATTTTTATAGTTGACGAGGAAGCGGAGCCAGCAAAGCACTCCGATTTAAACACCTTTCCGCCGAAGTAATGGAGTGCAGGGGCGAGTAGGTCGGGTCGAGCACCCGTGTCTTGACCTTATTTAGGTCGAGTCGTAATTATATCCACTTTCAAACGCTTTCTGGCTGCATACTTATACCTTCGTTTCACGAATATTTCTCACTTGGAAAATCCGCCCCGATTCTCCTAGTCGTTGCACTCGAAAACGTTTGCAAACGAGTTATCAACGACACACGTGTTCATCGGGTGTATTAAATTCGTCCTATATTATCCGCGCCGTGGGTAATTCCTCCGACTCCAGATAACGAATACTTCGCACTCCGAATTCGCGAGCAAATGCAAATTTCCGTCCGTAACGAAAATAAAAAACAGTGCAAAGATTTAACCGTTTGCACTCGGATGTCTCTTCCGATAGACGACAGGCTCGCTTTCGAGAATCGATTCGTCGGCGAGCTCCACGTGGACGGGTCCGCACGGATGCGCAATTATGCGTCGTCAATCGAAACGACGCCATCCCCGTCGATCGAAGGGAGCCACTTGATACATGGAATAGCAACGGAGAGCATAATTATCGTCAGACCTGTTCGCCTCATCGATTCGTCGCGTCACGGCGACGAGCGTCGCGTCGGTCGGAAAACGGACCTAACGCGCCGACGTTGAAAACACCTCGACGCGTCAGCGTTTGGAAGCACCCTAAAAAGGACGGAGTTTCGCAGTCCCGTGCTCCATTGACTTGGTTCGCTGAAGGACACTTGTCTGGCCCACATTCAGTCCCCCTCTAGCCACGTGGCCCTCCATTCAGCAGTCGAGGATAGGGCGCACTCGTAGGTCTTTACGCGCATCTGCAACCAACCCCAGCGTTCTCACCTCCGGAGGTTTTACGGAGCTAGACGGGAGAAAGACCGTCCTTTGAATCGCGCCACCCTTCACCTCGTGCTCTGGCATCCGGTTTGCTCGTTGCGCAGACATTTAGGGGAACGCTACAGAAACTTAACGGAGACGTCGGAATTTTTTCGCGTGGAATTTCATTCTCTTCGACATCCGTTTGGGGTACTTTTAAAAAATTTTATAAGTACGAACTAAACAATCTGGACTTGTACTCGTATTCCTCTGTAGGTGCCCCACTGTTCTCCAAAGGGTCCAAAGTTGGTCGCCTCTCGAATATAAAGTTGAACAAGTTCCGACGGATTCAAAGGGAAAATTCTGTTTCGGTACCTTTTTCTTCGGGCTGCAACGATGGCGTGCCGCTGCGTTTATCGATTAGATATCTTGAGAAAAAAGGGACGCTCGAAAACCTAGTTTCAGTCCGTTGTTCGCGGACACGCCGCTAAGCCTTTCCATCTGCTTCGTACCTACTTTCGGCTCGACCTGCTTTTGGGCCTGCTTTCAGCAAACTTCAAACCCTCGATCCTAGTTTCAACTTTCTGCGTCTACAGCAGACCTACTTCGAACGTACCATGCTTCCAGGTTGTATAAGGTTATTCCGATGTGGGGTTACTTGGTATCTAGATGGGTTTATATCGAGCGTGCTTGGGGAACTATTTTGGTCCGTGTCTATTCATGGGATACTTGTATCATCCTCGCTGCGTTTGCCATTTCTGGATGTTCGCGAGCTGATCCACTTTGGATCTATTCTGCATCAGGTCTCTAGGCACAATGCAGGGTTACACGGTGTCTTGTCGAGTTTATGGCGTACGTATTTAGAGATCTATTCGAGTCTCTGTCCCTGTTCGTGGACCGCTCGTATTATCTTTGCCGTACATGTATTCTCCAAAATTACGTTACTCGTGTGTTCGCTCGCGCGTGGCTATTATTTCGTAAAAAATTTTGTCGGCTGGGTTTCTCGCACGGAAAATCTTACGTGAAACGTTGGAAGATTCTCAGCCAGTTTTCCCCGGCGTACTCAGCCTCCCAGATTCAATTCGTTTTTAATTATGCCCGAGAGGAAGTTACCTCGACTCTCAGCGCTTCTTAATTAATAGTTACACGGGGCCGCTGTCGTTTAATAGTCGTTCAGGCCGCGTCGCGAACCACTCGAAAGAACAGGCCCGCCCTGAACTTCGTCTTTCAAGACGACGCTTCCGCGATAATTATCGAGCCACCGTTAATCGTTCCTCTCCCATACCGTCCGTCGCTACCCTCCTGAATCTGTTTCTGGTCGAGGAAGATTTCCGAACGGGTGGGAGAAGAAGAGGGCGACGACGACAGCCGTTTTTCGCAGTTACTCGACTCGCAAGGCCGTGTATTTTTAACTTGAGAACCTTCCGGCAACCCTGGCCGGGATCAATACCTCGGGCAACCCCGTCGTCGTGTACTACTGCTGGGAACCAGAAAGGGTGCAGCGGGGTTAACCTACATATCCAGCTCTGAACCTCGCCGCGCGAAGAAAAACATTTTTCTTTCGGCTGGGGAGACTTTCGCGGAGGGATGGTCGAGAATTGTTATCAGGAAAAATGAAGGGAAAATTTTTCAGCGGTCCGAAGTTACGTTTGCGCTTTTCATAGTGTCGAAATACCTTGGATGATTGCTCGAGGAATGTGTTACTTCAATTCGGAGTCAAAATGTAGCATTAGTTCCGATTATTTCGGAACCCTTCTTCGTTGATATAAGTAGGTTAATTTACTTGAATTTCAAAGGTACAGTGTATTCGATGAGTATATGTTTTTCGCTTCGTGTTCGCGCTTGAGCCCGTTCATCCGCAACGTTTTTAGGGGTGATTACCATGGTTTCTCCCTTCGTTCTCGGAATTCAAATATCACCCTCTATTTATTTCTCAATAAAGCAACAAGCACCCGAAAATAGTTTTTCGCGTCGGAACCTCAGCAGAGGGGCACAAACGAGCCACGAAACGGCCGCAAAGGTGGCCTGCAGTTGCGTAATTGAAAAATACCCGTGGTTCGCGTTGTTCGCTACGATATTTGGCAAAAGAGACTAAAGAGAGGGAACTGGAGGAAAGCAAAGCTGGAAAACGATTACTTTGCGGCGAAAAACGGCGAAATTCTCGTGGAATTATATTCGTTCAAAATTGAATTCTTTCACGATATAAAAAAATGAGTCAGTTATCAAGATCGTAGATTACACTTTACTCACCACTGAAGAGAGTGTCCTGTCGTACACAGTTACAAAATGGCTGCTGATCTAGTGGACTCCTTCGGAGCTTACGCTCCCTTTACCGCCCTTCGTCTGGCCGTTTCTTGGAAGATCGCGCTTGGAAAAAAAGGAGAAGCAGGACCACGACGGAATTGAGTTCCGAGACGGACATACCCCGAGAGTCTCGATGGTCGTCTAGGAATCCACGAAGCTGGAAAAGAAGGAAGAACGTGGATCAGTGGTGCGCAATATATACGAAAGTAAAATCAAAACGTGAATACAGTAATTCGCGGGTAGTAAAATGGCTTTGAGAACGATAAGTGGAGTAAATTTATTGACACCGACGACATTTCTACCAAATGTGCCGAGAGCACTTCTTCAGTCGTTGTGAATGAAACGGGATAAACTAAAAAATAGTAAGTGCGCCACTGCAGAGATTGTAATTTTAGTTTATCGTATATTATTTATGGTGGCAGAGGGCCATGGTACATCGTTTGGCCCAGTGACGAAAAGGGTTGCGCACCCCTGATGGTAGATGATGGAGGATGACGGATGAAAGGGGACCAGAGGTGGAAGGCGGAGTGTAAGAGCAAGGAAAAGAAAATGGCGAGAGATACAGCGGGGAAAAAAGGGAGAATCAGGGGTGGTTCGAGAAAGAGCGAAGCCGGAGGGGGCGAAGGGAGAAAAGCAAAGAAAAGCCTTTCCCTCTCGATGTCATTCGGGTTCAGAGAGCAACTTCCGCAATTGCGACGAGATGCCTCTGTATAAGATAGCCACTCGGCAGCGCTAAGGGCCAATCCCTTTTATTGCCGTTCGTTTCACGGTAATCGCGTGAGTAGCTGAATATTCCGTTGCACCGATACGCGACCAAGGATTCCGGAAAACGCGTTTTGAATTAGCCTGGGGGCTGGAGAGCGTTTTATCCTTCGACGAGGCTTTCGAGAGACTTTTATCCACTTGCTCGACCGGAAATAAAGATCTTGAGAAAGTCACAGTCGATGGAGTTGGAGTGGTTCCGTCTCGATCGAGTAGTTCCTTTCGATCGAGACACGCGTGTCGCCGAAATTTTCGACGGGAGTTTGACTTTTGATATATGCTTGGACAGAGAGAACGTGAACTGTTCCGTATAGACAGTAGCATGTAAATAAATATGATAATGCGAGGGAATGGGAATATCCGTTTCCAGAGAAGATCTGTTCAGGATGTGTTCGGGTCGCGAAGAGTCGAAGTTGAAAAACAAAACCTTGACGTAAACTACCATCGTGGAACCCTTTAACGAGAGGCTGAGAATTTACGATTCCGTCGCGCATAATCGAGTTGCAAATTAGCGACGAAATAAACCACCGAACAGACGAGGGTTCGGATGAGAGCTCTTTGTCGGAGAGCGCAGGAAGCCCGAGAGGGCATTATGCCGCGCGAATACGTCGAAAGCGATTGGCTCTCGTTCGTCTTCTTTGGGGCGGGGGCTGAAACCCGAAGGCGCCAACCCGAAGTAACCGGAACCGGCGTTCCGTTTCAATGCGCGATCGTGAAAAGAGCCGATAACACGGGCTCCGAGTAAAAGCAAATGCCTTTCGAAGATACTGGCTGGGAGTCTTTTAATGTGATTTTGCACTTGCAGAAAGCCTCGTCCAATAGCGATAGGGCTTCTTTGTGCCGCGAGTAGGGGATTTTTATACGGGGACTCTTTTATTAAAATGATTCTCCAAGGGTTATTCGAACCTTTCAATATGTCGACAGACCGATTACGATGAAAAACGCGTACCTAACGAACAACGTTCTCGTCGTGTTGCAGATCCACGGATACCATCGAGTTCGAGCGTGAGTCCCTGGCAAATATCACCGCAGCCAGAGCTTCGAGCCGTTGCCTAGCGGCTTTATCCTCGAGGACCAGGCGGCGTTCGTGGCAAGACGGCCGATCGTGCGAACGTCCTCGGTAATATTCCGCGGCTGCCACGACCAGCAACAGCCCGAAGATTCTCCCAGCAAAGGCCAAAATGCACATCGAGGTGCAGGTGGCGCTCAACTTCGTGATATCGTACCTCTATAACAAGCTGCCTCGCAGACGGGTGAACATCTTCGGCGAGGAGCTCGAGAAAGCCCTGAAGGACAAGTTCAAGGGTCACTGGTACCCTGAGAAACCGTTCAAGGGATCGGCGTTCAGATGCTTGAAGACCGGAGACCCGGTGGACCCCGTGTTGGAACGCGCCGCGAAAGAGAGCGGCGTCCCGATCCAGGACATCCTGGAGAACCTTCCAGCAGAGCTGGCCGTCTGGGTCGACCCAGGCGAGGTGAGCTACCGCATCGGCGAGATGAACGCGGTGAAAATCTTGTACTCCGAGACAGGCGACCCCCACGACGAGAGTTCGGCCGATCGCGAGGTGACCAAGACCTTCAACCCCGAGGCCCAGTGCTTCAGGCCCATCGAGGCCGTTGGCACGTCCTTGGGCGGGCTCAGTCTCAGTCCCAAGTCCACGTCGCCGTTCCCCAGCTCGCTTGGCAGCAACGCGAGCAACGGCTCCTCGAACAACCAGCAGAGCGGCCACGGATCCGGTTCCTCGTCGGCGCCGTCGCCGACGCCCATCAACAACTCGTTCAAGCGCTCGCCTAGTCCTGTCACAGTCTTCATCCCACGCACCACCGCGCCGCTCACCTTCACCACCGCCACCTTCGCTCAGACAAAGTTCGGCAGCACCAAGCTGAAGACCAGCAGCAAACGCGCCAACAGGTTGGTAACAAAGTTCGTTTCTTTTCAGTCTCTTCTCGTCTCTCGGTATCCGTTAGCTTCCACGAGCATCGAGATATTAGATTGGTAAAAAATTAATGTCGATTAATATCGACCAACCTAATATAAATTCGTCCGACGGAGACCGGTCGCAATCCCACGCACGAATAAATTCGACCAACCCACCGCAACCGTTCCACGCACCACGCGATTCACCGGACTTCCCTGCTCTTTATCCCCTGACCGCAACACGCGGTAGCAAACAATCGAGCTGGCAAATGAACCACACCGTAACCTTCCTGCTTTCAGAATGTCCCCCACCGAGTTCTCGAACTACATCAAGCAGCGCGCCATGCAGCAACAGATCCACCATCACCATCACCATCAGCAGCATCAGCAGCAACAGCAGCAGCAACAGCAGCAGCAGCAGCAACAACAGCAGCAGCAGCAGGCTGCTCCCGGTGGTTTGCCGGTCTCGCGGAGTTCCCCGCGCAGCCGCAGCCTGTCCCCGGGAAGCATAGTCGCGGGTGCTGGGCAGCAGCACACGGATCCGAGCGCGTACTTCTTCCAGCACGGGCCAGCCGCCTATCATCCTCAGTTCCCTCATCGCAACATCTTCGACTCGTCGAGCCACGGTGGTTACCTGTCTGCCGATCTCTACACGGGCGCCAACTTCCCGTCGTCCTATCTCGATCCAGCGACGATCGCCGGCCACCAGTTCTACGGTGGCAGCGTGAACGGCACCAGCAGCGCGGCAGGCAGCAACGGGAACTCTCACAGCGCCGGAAACCTCGGCCCCGTCGGTTCCACGGCGACGAATAGCAACGTGAACGGCGCCGCTCAGCAGCAAGACAAGACAGCGTTGGTCGAGGGTCTGAACAACTTCGGCTTGGGCTCCGTGGCATCGTATTCGGCCAGCCAGTATCAGCACCTCCTCGTGGCCAATTAGTTCCCCGCACGGGTCGAAGCCGAGCGAGCAGCGCGGCTCGAGTCGTGCCCCATCCTCGGTGCTGCTTTGCCAGAGAGGCGGGACAGGAGGATCAGAGAGACGGAAACGCCCTTCCAGTCTCTCCTACGTCGAGACGTCGTCCAAAGTCTAGGTTCCGAACCCTGACACACCCGATCCGCTTGCACCATCCGGGGGGCTTCTCGCCTAGAGGAGGCCGTCGACTCCTGCTCATCCTAGTTCCAGCTGTCTCTCTCTCCAGAGAGTGTATCCAACAGTCGCCACGGTAGCTCCGATCACCCGAACGTTTGGTCATCGACTTCATCGGTTTCGACGACTCCCCGTTTCGCGTTCCATCCGTCTCGTCGTTGCGAGAGCCGGCCACGCGTATCCGCGATCGTGGCAGGCTGCCGATCTATGGACAGGCTCGCATCGTAACACGTCCAAAAATCGGATGGGGAGATAGGAGATCGGCAACCTGCGGCCACGCGACTGCGGACGAGGATTCGCGGGAGAGGGAAAGAAAGAGCGGGAGTGAAAGAGAGCGTGTGCCGAGGAATGCGTGTAAAACGTTTGCGGACGAGTAGGAGCGGAGAACGAGGAAGGAGAAATTTTTGACACGACGGGGACTCGCGAAACGCGAACCACCGACTCAACCGTAGAGCTTCGCGTGTACGCTAACGTTCCATCAACCGAATGATCGACGGACCCGATCGCGATGGCGCCCACGGTCGCCAGGTTCGAATGGCTGCTCCAGTTGGCTACCTTAGATCGGCCACTCGAGACCAGTCGTTTCGGTTCAGAAATCGAACGACGCGCACCCACACCTGGGACAGCGAAAAGGCCAAGAGATACATACGCATACACACATTCGGACATCCCCCTACACACACACACACACATACATACACACGCGCGTACACAGACATACGACACGGAAATCACACGCAGAGACGAGAACACACTCACCGTTCACCTGGCGACGAACACATATAATTAATACGTACACACCAACCCCCTCGTGGGCCGACTATCATCGGGACACCAGAGGGGACGGGAGGGGTGAAAAGAACACTTTCGCGCACGACTTCACCAACACGTACACAGATATTACCAACGTGTAATAATTTATTTTTTCACTGGTATAGTCGGAGAATTGATAATGAATATATCTGTAGAGCCTATGTATTATATTCAAGAATAATGCACTCACTTCACGGGTTCTCGCGAAACGGTAGGAACTACTTGTGAACCCGAGCTACAGAAGCGTCGATGAATCGCGTTCGAGGAATGAACGCGACGACCACTCCGTACTCTAGAGCGTTCGCGAAACATAGGGAGGGAGATAGAGAAAGTGAGAGAGTGAGAAGCGACTCGTTCCCTTGGAACCCATCAGCGAACAGACCAGGACCAGCGGAGACGAACGAACAACGTCTTTCTTGAACGATCGCGGGGGTGAGAGAGGACGAAAGCACTGCTGTCCAAGCTCTGCTCCGACCCCCCGGGTGATTTCTTTGTCGATCGAATCGCAGACGATACACGCAGTTCCATACCGTTTGGAAAACTCGTCCTCGGTACGATTTTACATTTTATTTTTATAATAAATGCAGTAGAGAGTAGGGGAGAAAACACGGGGGAGGAGGGAGTAGAAAGGAAAAGAGAATGGCGGTGTGTTCGTAGGAACGAGAGCTGGCTGCGTTGCGGGTCCTCCGAATCAAGGTTTAACAGAATTTTGATGAACGGCCCGATCATCCGACGCGTCTTTCCGAGAGTCGCTTTGAACGATGGTAGACAATTTTGCGTATTATTCGTTGCTTAAGTTATACGAGAATATAGTCTATTTTACGGTGTACGAAACTGTAATCCTTTACATTTTGTAATATTATAATAGTTTACTTTATATTTAAATTCTTAGTTTTATATTTAATTCTAAGACTTAACGTAAGAGACGTTTTTTATCTACTCGTGAAATTGAAACACAATTGTCCATACCTTTTCGAAGACTCAATCGCTACGCGTCGATCTCACTTTTGAATCTTTTATTGCGTTATCGTGCGTAAGATAGCGATTACGATGTTGCCAATAACGATACACTCGGAGTACACGGCTTACTAAAAACTAGGAAACGTAAAGCTTTCGTCGGACTATTAACGAAACAAATCGAGAACGTCGGTGACCGGGTTAGCGTCGAAATTTCGCATCCGAATGAGTATTTCGCGCATTTTTTGGATATCTTTTGATCCAGAGCTAATCCCCTGGCTGAACGTTTTCTTTCGACGCGGGTTCATGGGGCGTCGCGACGACTCTCTCGAGTACTCCAGCTATCGGACAACGCACCCTCTGCTCGTCCAAGTTCGCGACACCAAGCCGGTGGGTGAGAGTTTCCGAACTTTCCTAATTCCCGTGCTATCGAACAAGCTCTTCGGTTTCTCGCTAGCCCATCGATCCTTGGGCTTGGTCGAGGCTGCCTGTCCGAAGTTAGGCGCCGCTTCGTCCGCGCGTACGTGCGCGACGCCTCGAGATCGTAGGTACCATCCACACCGCAGAACCGAGGAGAATGTCCCTGTATTCTCCAAAATCGTTGATCAGAATTTTCGGAAGACGGCTAGTAAAACTGCTGTCGAAAGAAGGCAATTTACGAGAGATGACTCTCGCGAGCGTCGCTCAGGGGCATTCATCGAAGCTTCTAGCAGCGCGAAGAGAAACGGGGACGTCACGGTTAGCCACGAGTAGCCCGCAACCAGCCAGTCCGCGTTCGCCAGTATAATTAGGTGATTACGTTATTAAAGACCGCCGTCACTGTCCTCGACGGACAGAACACGACCGCGCCAGTGACCCAAAGACTGGAGAAGATGCTCCGTTCGAGAAGTCTCCACGGAGAACGACGAGACGAGGTTTCCAGGTGAACGACTGTCGAGCCGGCTGTTCCCCGAATAAGTACCGTGAAACTTCCCATTTGGAATCGATCTTCTGAGTCTCGGTTAGGTCGTTCGATACAGGATACTTTTAATACTTTATCGCGAACAGTTCAAGTACAAGACCCCTAAACGAAGCCATTTTTCAGAAGGTGCCAGTCAACGATTTATTAGAAATTACGTTCCTGACAAATTTCAGACCCTCCTGAAGAGAAAAACGCCTACGCAAAGGCTTCCTAACTCGGACCGAAGAGTCCTCGGTTCGTTCGGTTCTCCTCGGAAACGTCCAGCTCGACAGCCAGCAACGATCGTCCCGAAAAATTCTCCTCGGTCTCGGTGACCGTCGGTACATCGTTTCATCTCGAACGGTGATTCCCTGTTCGGTCGAAGGTCGGAGTCTGTCCGTCGAGAGGAAGACAGCGACGACGGACGGAGGTGCCGTGAGCCGCGGGCCAGGCACTAGGTGCTAAGTATTAACAAAAAAAAAAAGTGTTTATCTTGTCGTCGTGGGACAAACGTACGGAGTACGCGCGGCCTGGAGACTGTCGACGAGCTCGTCCGCAGAGATATAAATCAGGGTTCCTTCGCGTATCGCACGATCCCAGCTCGATCCAAAGCGCGCAAGTGTCCTCTCTCCTTAGGACTAGTTTCTAACCTTAGCGTGACTACTTCGTATCGTGTAAGTGTTGTAGCATAATTTTAGGCGTGACCGTTAATCGTTCTTTCGTACGAATTTTTATATAGCCCGTTTTGTATATGATCGACGCCGCACACATGGCAGCTTCCGTACAGCTGGACCGCGATCCACGGACGACGCCGATCGCGGTCGTTGCGCGCCGGATCGAGACACGGGGATCGACTTGTGATCTGGAAGGGTTGTGTGTTCAATTACGATTCTGGCGAGCCTGGCGTTGCTGGAGCCTCGATTCGGAGCCCCTGGAGAAACTTGCATTTTTTCGAAAGGATCGTCCAACCCGACGATTATCCGATCCAGCGACGCCGCGGCTCTCTCCACAGGATCCACCAGAGACGGGGCAAACGTCTAGACGAGAGCTGACGAACAAATTGATAGACTATGAGTGTTTTCGTTCGTCTGTCGTTGCGAAGACTTCCCTGTCTCTGGGATCCAGCGATCGGACGCTGTTAGACAAATTATTAGGCCGAAAGTTGACGAGCATAGAGAAGACCGACGAGACGAGCGAGTCGGCAGGACGGGTCTCCAGTCGCGCGGGGGGTGCTAACACAAGTTTTTAACTGCGGAACTAATAAGGGTAGACGGGGGTGAGAGACACGGGATTAGTAGGCGTGAGGGGACGAGACGAGAGGACAGTACCCTTTAGTAATATCTAAACTTAATTGTAACTATTAACGATACGTACGACTGTGGTAGCTATGCTAGTACCTGCTATTGTTAAAGAGAGAGTGGCGGGAGGAAAGGGATGTCGATGAAGGGGCGAAGGGACGATAATCGCGACTTTAGAGGGGTGGCTTCGATGTCCATCGGTGGAGTGTCGCGCAGTGTTTCCTTGTGCAAAGGTGTCGGCAAAGTAGACCAATTGCTGCGACCAGTTTCGAGGAAGATTTCATGGTCTCTGTGGTTCCACAGATGTGGTTTCAGAACTTGTTTTTAAATTGAATCGCTATCTACAGTAACATCGTCACCAGCTTTGCTACAATAGCCTTTGCACGGAAACACCCTGCGCCGGAGTTTTGCAAAGATCGTAGTTCGACGGACCATCCGTCGCGATTAGATCGTTTTCCCCTGAAAGAGGAAATAATGGACACTCGAAGGGTCACGATCTGTATCGAGACGCGGAGACCCACCCCATCGAGAGAGAACCTCCAAGCACCGATTATTTTTTTAATCTTTGTAATCGAACGGAACACGGCTCGAGCCAGCCGGGGTGGATTCTCGACACGATCGAAAGATCCCCAGAGGTGATCTCTCTAGGCGGTGGTCTCTTCGTCGCGACAATGGCCAGAAGGGATGGACAGGGGAGGAGAGCAAGCGTTGCAATAAGTTGCGAATCAAACGGATCTCGGCTTGAGACGAGAAGCTCAGCTCAGCGATGAATCAAACACACGATGTATACTCTTTTAAGAAAACCAAAAAAAAAAAAAATGAAACACGGGACGAGTCGTGAGAGGGTGGAGAAGGCACGGTCGGAAAGGGACGCGATCCGATGGAGATATATACTGATAAGAGCATACATTGAGATACACAAATGAAAAACATATAGTATTATACGATTACAATACGATTGTAATGAACACTTTGTAAGCGAAGAAACAAAAAAAAAAAAAAGAATTACGCATAGTTTTCCATAATCTGTAATGGATGTATTCGTTCAAAAAAAAAAAAAAAAAAAAAAAAAAAAACGATTTTTTGAAAAATTTTTTTTTTTTTTTTTATAAAAAAAAAAAAAAAAAAAAAAAAAAAAAAACTGAAGAGAGGAGGTTAAGGTTAAACGAGAAACAAAGATAAGTCACACTATACAGACACACACGCAAAACACACATATTACACGCACACGCATATGTACGTACACAGAGACACACGTCGCCGACAGACACGTATACGGAAGTTCGAAGTATACACGGGTACACGACACAACAAGAAGTAAATGAAAAAGAACAAAAAAAAAAAAAAATATATGACGATGACGATGTTGTTGACGACGATGAATAAGTAAACGAAGTAACATGACGAAGTAAACAACGGTAATCTGTCTCTTTAAAGTATCATGTGTCTATAAACTATAGCAATCGATATTGTCTCTTTAACCGTAAATGGAGAAACAAGTAACCGTGGTAACGTAATAATGTCATAGCGATAACCGAACACTGCAATATTAGATATAATATATATTCATACATTTAGAGAGGTGGAAGTGAGAGAAGAAAGAGCTATGGGAATAAAAATGAATTGGGAGATGCGCACGGTTCCATGCCGAGAAAAATGAAAAATAGACAAACTGACGGAAAAAGGGGACCGTCGCGAGGGGAAAATTCCCGTTGGGAGGAGAGGGAGGGGGGACGATCGAAGGAGCGAATGAATAAACGTCTGAAAATGAAAAACGCGGGAAAGGGCTGTGCGCATGCACGTGTCGATGAACGGAAGCGAACGAACGAAACGCGCGAACGAAATAGAGCCGAGCATGGTCTCCAGGTACACTTTTAAACGAAAAAAAAGCCGTTTCACGATAAAAGAAAAAAAAAAAATAGCAAAGGAAAAAGCAAAACGAAAAACCGAAAGGAAGAGAACAATATATATACGCGTTCTGTGTATCGGACACACTCGAAGCCACACGCAAACATGTACACACACACACATACACACACAACTGTACACGCACACAACACGAAGCAACAGAAAGAAAGACCCAAAAAAAAAAAAAAATAATAAAAAAACCTATCGATTACTCTACCAAGTAATGAATTAACAAGAGGATGATAATTAGATTTGTAACTAATTACATATATATTTTTCAATACTTTAACTACTTGCTGAATGTAAACTATATACATACAATTATATATTATATATATTATATATATATTATATATACACACACGTACCGCTTAGAGCTGTACCTCGGTTCCAGCGCGCCGAGTACCGTGGCTCGTCGACTTTCGCTCCTCGAGAGGGAGAGGGATGAAATCGCGAGGAAGCAGATTAAATCGAATACCAAAAATAGTATCAAAATTAATTTCGATTAACTTGTCGGCCTTTTCTTGTCACCGAGAACCCGTTAAGGGTTGATTATCCATCGGGCCATACAGAGAGACGATTCAATTTGCGGGTAACGACCACCGCGCGGATCTTCGTTTTTGGACAGCGTCTATCCAAAAGTATAGCGACTAATATAGCGAAATAAATGTTGACTCCATTTTCGTAAAACGTAATTAAGTTATCTGTTAAGTATAGGACGAGAAATTCCTCTTGTTAGATCCCCTCTTCGGGAATGGTAAAACCCATGTCTTTAACCGTCTTGGTTTTCACTTCGTGGACTAGTCCTTACCATGTCAGTAAGGAAACGACGTAGCGGTTGCGAAATTGAACCCACACGCGTCTTCTTCTGCATCCGAGTGATCCGTGACCACTGCGACGTTGTCCACTACCTCTTAAGAGGCTGTATCGTACGATTTGATCTGGTCGTTTTTGGTGTCCACGGCACGGTCGCCCCTAGTCCAACAACCGGAGAAAGGCTGCGTAAAAGTAGCCGCAGTTGGTGTTGATATCAAATTCCGCTGACATTCCTGGTCTCCGTGTACCGTATAGTTCCACGGTTACGGGCACAACCGCCCCACAAGTTGTACCGACGCTCACATATCCGCACAGTTCATTGACTGCCTCCAGGGTATCGTATCTCATGGTTGATAGGTTATCTTGATCGAACCAACGAGCCCAGATATTGCGAAAACTAGCTGATTTCGCTAGCCACTTTGTTAAGGTGGCCAAGGTGGTCTCTCGTGTTTCGTGCACGCAGGATGCTACTCGAGGCAAGAGGTTTCGGTCATTTCTCCATCTACGACTTTTACTGGAAGCACGTCGCTTCTTCGTCGATCCTCAAAGTTCTCTAGATCTTGTGGTCTTTAGTCCGCTGAACTGTAAAGGTGAAAATTAACGACAGGTACCTACCGTACGACACGTTTCAACCCACGAATTGAAAGTGAAAGCT